AAATAAAATTCAAAAAAAAATGTAACTGGAACAACAAAGCCAAGATTTCAAGATATTATTATCTAGGCAATCCTTAAAAATTGAAGTATTCTATTTTTTAAAAATGGAGCTGTCTTTCAAAATAATTAAAAGAATAACATACATAGTAGATGTAATAGAAAAAATACATGGATATGGGAAAATAACTAAGTGCATGATTGAAGTTTGGGACACAACTTAAAACATCAGGGTCTAGAGATCCTGTCTTACAGTCTAAGAACCACTTCCTTGCTGTGGTTTTGAACTGTAGGTCAAATCCCTCAGATGTGGTAGCTAGAGACGGGCCTTTGTTTAAAAAGAAACTAGACTAGATGAGCAAATAGAGCACACTGCTGGCGGTATCGTCCTGTGTTGTTGAATGATGGGAAATACATTTCTCGCCGAGCATCGAGGTGACAAAAGTTAGCTATGGTGTTAGGGTTTGCTTTCCCAGGTGAGAGTATCCCTTCCACTACCCCATTTTGGTGACTCTTAAACTCTAGCCAAAAGTTTGAAAGAAAAACAAATGATGTACTTTCATCTTTACAAGGTTATTACTTACGGAGGTTTTTATAAAGTATAGAGGGATTAGTTCCACGGGTTTTAGAATTGTACCATGTCCTCATCGAAAATGTGCTCTCACTTCTAAATGGCACATTTCTTGCATGTTCATTTGGGTTTTTGATTCTTATTTTGATATGCTTGGTAATTGTTAAATCTTCCTAGCTTGGGGATTCTTTGAATCAGTCTGTTTTCAGGAAGTTTCTTGACTTTGTGTGGTCCTGGATTGCTTGATAGACATGAAGGGGCTCTTTTACTAGTGACTTTTTACAGGGGCGTTGTTGTATTTTAGTCAAGTGTTTAGGAAGAGCTTCACTTGGGAGTCAAATACACTCATCACAGACAGAAGGATGTCTCTTTATTACCTGAGAAAATTTTTATTACCTGAGAATGCATGTGATTTTTTCCAGAGTTAAAATTGTTTTGAATGGACTTTTAAGAAGTTGTCTGGAGCCCGTGAAACCATTATGTTTATTTTGGTTGTTATCTTATATAAAAATATCTAGGCTGGGGGGTGCCTGGGTGGCTCAGGGGGTTAAAGGCTCTGCCTTTGGCTTGGGTTATGATCCCAGGGTCCTGGGATTGCAGGGAGCCTGCTTCCTCCTCTCTCTCTCTCTGCTTGCCTCTGTGCTTGCTTGTGATCTCTGTCAAATAAATAAATAAAATCTTTAAAAAAAAAATCTAGGCTGGAAATGTCCAACGATAGATTTTTTTTTTTTTTACAATAATGGGATTAATGCCAAACTTACAAATACACTGGGTTTAAAACTTTTCTTGTGGCTCTAGTTTTGAGATAGAGTACCTTATACATGACGTAAAGAACTAGTTACTTTAGCAGTCAGATGCCAGCCACTAAATTCACCGGACACCCATTATTTCATGCCTGATAAATTGTTTTCCACAGAGTATTCATTTGTATGGTGCAAATTAGGCTAAAGTACGATGCTATTGGATCTGTAATGTTTAGGGAACAATAATTTCTTTAAAAAGTACGATCTGCAGTGCTAAGGGATGTTTATAATTTCTAAAATGACTTACTTAACAGGAGAAGGCTTGATGAAAGCATTTAGCACGGAGATGAAATATGTCTCATTAAGTTTCCAGATGATGCACATGTCAGTACTTCCTTTGTTATTTTTTAATAGTTTATTTACATAATCCAGGGCCACTCCTTTTATTAGTGGTGGTTATCACAGCAAAAGGATTTTGGTTAAATTAACCTGAGCAATATAATGTACTTCTGTTTCCACAAAACTGATGAAGCTTCCCGCCCCTCTTTCTCCTGCTCCTTCCCCGGTGGTAAAGAGCCCCTATTTACATATGCAAATAAGCTGCTCCGTGGAGAGCCCCCTGAGCCACCCAGGTCCAATCTGTTATTTTGCTGATGTTGATGGAATTAGCCAGGAGGTAAATGCTACCGGGAGACTGATGTCTCAGTCTGGAATGACAGATACCAGAGTCTAAAGGCTGTCATTTCAGAGGAAAAATAGCTTCTTGGGATTAAAAGTTTGGGAAAAGAAAATGAAGTCACATATTCTGTCTTTAATGTTAGCCTGAATGATATAATTCCCTGTTTTTCTTGAGCAGGGAAAACTGTATGTACAATTTTTTTTTCTATAAGATGTTGGTTTCCTGCATTACCGTTAATAAGAGCCCTGTTTGCTTTTTTAAAAATGTCAAGTATTTCATAATTGACTTTATACAACTGCTTGTGCTCCACGGTGCGTTGTTTGTACTTCCCCTGGTTGTGTCAGGACATCTGGCCAATAACAAGACTGGAAAAAGAAAAGAACACACTTTTAAATGAAGGTCTCCCTAAAGTGAAGAAGCAGACGTTTCTAGCTTCTAATGTGTTAAATTCTCCTCAAGTTTTAACCAGTACCTAGCTATGTATGTCTTTCCACAAAGCCTCCGTATCCAACTGATTCCAGAGTATGTGAGTAACTGACCATGACTACCTACCCCCCCAGTGGTAGAATACAATGCGACTATTCTATTGAAAATTAAGATTAGTTTTAAGATATGAGTCATAGGAAGGAAAAACTTGGTGTGAGCTGTTCACAATTCCTTTATTTTCTCTCCATATGGAATTCATTAAAATGACATCAATCCTCCAGACTGTTCTTTGGTTTCTATTAAGATGTATTACTAGAATCTGTATAAATGTATTGATTATTTCATACACGTATTTGTTCACTGCAAGCAGACCATTGTCACAGATCCATTGTACTTGATGATAAATGAGATAAAATGGAAACCAGGTTTCAAAAACCTGTCTTCCCCACCACCCCCCTCCTGGAAGGATGTGCTTACTCTCTTTCAACTGGCCTTCCACAGGGGAGGGAGTTTAAGATTCAGATTCTAGTTTTATTATCAACATCTGCCCCCTGCTGAGTTCATGGTGCAATTAGCTAATTAAAACAACAACAACAACAACAACAACATTTTCACCTTGCAGTGAGAAGAAGAGCAATAAACCGCAGGCCTAGGATTTAGTTAATTTGCACATTGACTGTAATTGTATATTTAACGCCAGGATTAATTTTTTTCCTCATAAGTGGAAGCCTGGCACTGTGCATTGGAACTCTTAAATCAGTTGTAATCATTTCACAGGGAGGTTAATAAGGGCAGATAGATCTCCAGATATATTAATGAAGCTATTTATTTGTTTCTATCAAATGACTTTTTTTTAGGAAGAAAAAAACCTTAAAACCACTTTTTTATAAGCCATTAAATTTAAAGGAGACTTTTCAAATCCAGCTAAATAAATAATCTCGTGACTTAAAAAACAAAGAGTAGGGGTACCTGGTTGGCTCAGTCCATTAAGCTTGTGCCTTCGGCTTGGTCATGATCCCAGGGTCCTAGGATTGGGTCCTGTGTGGTAAGGCTCTCTGCTCAAAGGGGAGCCTGCTTCTTCCTTTCCCTCTGACCCCACCCCATGCTCTTTCCCCCTTTCTCTCTAGCTCGCTCTCAAATAATAAGTAAAATCTTTAAAAAAAAAAATCACAAATCTATTTCTCCTGCAAAACTATTGATTGTTTTGAGTGAGAAGTCATACTCAGTTTTTTGTTTTTGTTTTGTCAAATATTCAATGCATTATTGAGCATCATTTTTGCTGTTAAAACTCTGGTACATTTTCTAGGTCAGCTGAGATTTAAAACTATTTCCTTGGATTCTTTCAGAAGAGAGTAGGGAAAGAATGCATGTTGGCAGAGCAGTTACTAGGAAAAACATAATTCTGACTTGCGGTCTGCTACTTAATGACATTTCCTTTTTGAAAGGTAAGCATTATACTTTGGACACTGAAGTAGTAGTTGTGGGCATTCCAAGTGGATGTGATTGATCCACATGTTAAAAGTAATAGAGCTGTTATTCCTAGAAGAAAAAGAATTCTGAAGTGTTATAATGGAGACACTGCATTCTCACTTACGTAGAAGGCCTTGTGCTCTGCTCTGTGAACAGAGCTGAGCTGACACTAACACTTCTGCTCCCTGTGTCTCTCACTTTGAGACCTTCTCTCTGTTGCTTTCATCTCCCCATCACTGAAGTTGATGCTCACGGTGGATCAATCATGTTTGCTTCTTAAATTCTTGAGAGAATGGAGAAGCAAAACTCTGTACGATTTATGTGGACCCCTATCCTGAATTTGCCCTCTAAAATATAATTTCTTGGAATTTTTATTTGGTGTATGTGTTTGGCATGAAATAAGCAATGGGGAAGTGTTAAGTCTTTCTGTGGGATCCGTGTGTCCTCTATATATACAGGAGTGTTAATAAGACTGGTCAAAGGAGAGACCACCCTTCTACATAGATTAAATTATTAACTTAATGTTTGGTCTCTATTGGGGCCAGTAAAATGTAAGTGCATTCAGGGACAGAAATTTTGGTGGCTGCCAGGCACCAGGAATTCTGCCAGGATGATGCAGAGAGATGGGAGATGTTTCATGTTTTTGAGGAAGACTATGATTCCTGTGTCATTTTGGTGAATCATGGGTGCCAAGTCTAACTCTTAAGGGTGCTCCTTTAATGCCTTTTGCTGTTCCAGGAAGATCAACTTCATGTTCAGGGAAACCGGGTTCCAGTTCTCCTTAGTATCCTTAAAATATAATGAGAGACAGTATCAGATAAGGGAAGGATGAAGGTTTGATGGGAAATGTCTGGATGCTGGGCTGTGTTCATAACCTTATTACTCGCGTGTATATATAAGGCCGTTTTTAACAAAAGAACTCAGGACTTGAATGTGGCATGTGCTTCTGTGGGGGAAAACCTTGTGTTTTTATTATTGGGTATCAGCTGAAAGAAACAAGTACAGTGCCGTTAAATGCTGTCCCTCTCCCTTTTCTGACCATTTCCCATCATCCCATGCCCCACCTTCTCCCCTTCCCGTCTCTTCTTCACACCCCATCTTCCATTCACTGTCAGGAAGGGCAGCCTCCGAAGAGCCATTTCAACTCAGCCCGACATCGGCAGAGACTAGTGGACCCAGCGGCTTCAAAAGTGAGTGTGTCCCGTCGCCCCAGGCGGCACGTGTGCATGGTGGTGTGGTTCCTCTGTGCAAAAGGAGGTTGTGGGTTTTTATATATGCTGGTGTAATTGAAGGTCTCGGAGGAAACAAAGTCTGCTCTAGGAATTCAAGGCCATCCGTACCAGAGGAGTTCTGGTTTAACAACCAGCCCTGAGAAAAGCAGAACCCTGATCGGCAGCATTTGCCGGTTTCTGGGGCTGTTTCCTCCGCAGCCAATTTCAAGACCCACGGTGATACAACTGACCTCACAGCGGGAAAGAGATGCTCCGGAGAGCACTGTTGCGTGGTTCGTCTACCATACCGCTGAAACTGACGTCAGCTGTAGTGAAACAGAGCAGCCGCATTAGGAAGTGAGTCCGTTTTGAGCCTCTTTTATGGTTGATTTCAATGTAATGTATTTAACTCCACATTTAGATATTTTACAGTCATAATAACGGCTGCGTTCTGACTTGGACAACTCCTGACACCTGACAGCTTGGGGAGGGTGGGCTCCAGGGCCGCAGCCATGTGTTATGTATGTGTTGAGAAAAGTCTTAGGCCAGTGCAGTCATGCTCAGTTCTTCACTTGGTCATAGTCAAAAGGCCAAGAAGCGCTGGGTCATGCTCAGCTCTCAGGTTTGATAGATAGCAGTAGCCACCGAAGAGTGGGTGAAGGTTTGGGTAAAGGCTTGCTAATCCCACACACCTCAAGTTAGTCACGGGCTGTGCTGCTGTACACGGACTTTCATTGAACACACACGTGTGAACAGACAGGCACAAAGCGTTCCTGCAGCCACCTGTCCTCTAAATCCAGTGAAATCCCTGGTTTCTGGCCCTTTAACGGCTCCAGCCGGATCTTTCTGGAGAAGTTCCACGCAAGGTCAATGACCTGACAACTTCTGGCAGGCAGGATTCTCTCACCTCTGTAGTGGGCATCAAGCAACAGAGCTCCTCTAAGTCACCTCTTAGACAGGAGGCCATTGTGCATTTGGTCCTCCTGTGTCAGTCATGCGGGTACAAGTTACAGGCTTCCCTACATTCGTAAGCCCTGCCCGTGCAAGGGTGAAGAATGGATTTCTTCATTCTAGATGGATTTTGCCCACTTACCTTGAATATCACGAGTTTCAATAGTGACAACCTGTGTGTACCATCCATTATGCCCATCAGCAATGAAAACCTCTTACATGATGCCATTTTGTAAACTCTCCAGTGTTGACTAAAATGGTGATACCTCTTATCTAAGCCTAGCTGACCACTCTGAGGGAAGTAAATTGTGGTCAGGGCCACTGACTGTGTATAGGGGATGATTTTATCCCGTACCTAAAATTACACTGCCCATGGTGAATATTTGGAAGTGGACTCCAGATGTCATAACCCTTTGTTACACGTATTAAGGGCCTAGGGTACCCACTCCCCAAGCTCCTCTAGACAATTCATTTTATGCTCATAATTCTTGTGATGAAGTCATGGAAGTCTTCTAGGGGTGTGAGGGGTAGAAATAAACCAGCTTTGAAGAACCTGGACGGTTGCATCATGTAAGATGTGAATTTTGCTGGAGTAGAACATAGATCCCTGTAGACTGGGTCTTTCTTGGGCCAGACCGAAGAGATTTAACTAATGAGGCCCTGAAGCATCACGCTGTGCACAGCCCAGACTTCCTGATCAGTGGTGTTCTAAGGACTCCACTTAGCATATGCTTTGGTTCCTCTTTGTTTTTCATGTATTCATTTCATTCTTCCTTGGCATTTTCAGAAATACTGTGCCTTGCCATGCAGTGTAAATTACACTGTGAGTTAGCGGATTTTCTTTTAATGGTAGTGAGGGTCTTTTTGTTTTGTTTTGAGCAAGGATCATATTTTTTTGTTTTGTTTTGTTTTGTTTTGTTTTTGTTTTGTTTTGTTTTCAGAAAGACTTTAAGTCATTAAGCTCCTGTAGAGAAGTTATCTGGTGCTTTCATGTGCATGTGAATAGGTTCAGCCCTGTTACCAAGCAGGTTTTAAAGGTCTGCTCCTTGTCTCCCCAAAACACTGCAGTCCTAGAAATTTTAGAAGGGCCTAAAAATCTTTTCTAAATTGCGAAGTGATGGGGAAGCCACTGTTAGCTGTGTGGATATGTTACTTGGACAATAAATAGCAAATGGAAATGTGCATCTGTGTAGCCGGTGACCTTTCATTAGAAGCACGTTGCTTTAGAATCTGCACTGTATCATTTTCAATTCAATAACCCGCGCTGTAGTAAAGAACTCTTGCAAATTATAGGTGCCCGTGTTGTGGGGGTCAGAAACAATTTATGGTAAACCAGCTGCCAGATCTTCTGAGGGCATTGATTTTGTTCTGAGTCAGTGTTGTGTAATCTCAAAAGAAGTGTGATCAGGTAGAAATGTTTAGTTTCCCCATAGCAATATGGAGTGATGGGAGAATAAACTGGACTGGGTTGTACAGTGAGCTTTGCCATCAACCAGCTCTTGTTAGCCACTTAACACAGAGCCTTCGTGGCTCTAGATTTTCTCATCTATTTAAATGAGAATATATGAAATGTTCTCTTAATCAAATTAAGCAATTATTTTTCTTTTCCCTCAAGGCTATTTATAACATCACTTTACCTTTTAGTCTTGAGATTTTTGAATGGCATTTCTCAATCCTAAAATCCCTCCACCAATGACATCATTCCTCATTACTTGCAAAGCATTATTATTAGGCAGTCTTCTATCACTGTCTTCAGTGGAAGTTAATTTTTAGAACAGAATTACATTAAAGCTATGGGGAAAATATGGACCAGACATAAGGGGCTCATTGTCTGCTCAAGGAATTGGCTTTTTTTTTTCTATAGCCTGGATTTTTTTTTCCCTTAGTCTTAGAAAGCCTTTTGTGCTTTAAGTATAGGAAAACAAGCTTTTAAATCTCTTTTATTTGAATAAGAGTAAAGGGTTAGGAAGAAATCAAAGGTAAGTAATGTGCCTCTGATTGGCTAAGCTTGTCCACTGGGAATTTCTAACTAGGCTTTCACTTTGAGAATGTGCTCACCTGTCTGTCCCCCAGTATGAATGCTGGAACACAGTAAATGAACAAAGAATGAAGCAAAACGGGCAAGAGGAATAATAGTTCAAAGACCGCAGAGCAGTTATTTGTGGAGCTGGTAAAGGCCTCTGTTAAATAAAAATCAATTTGATATGGAAGCATCAGGGACACAATGTGGGGAGACGGGAGGTACACAAGGAAAGAACACAGGAGAGTACAGAGGATTGCTTTTCAAATCCTCCGGCATTTCCCCACAAAAAGATGATGAAGATTTATTTTAGATGAGCTGTCATTTTCCATCAGAAGCTTTGCTGATCCAGAATAAATAGGTTCATAAAGACTGTACTTAAAATTTGAGCATGTGAGGGTAAATAATGGGAGGCACAGCATCTAATAAATTTCAAAACCAGAAGGTATTATAACATTCTCTCTTCCTGTAAAAACAAACCAAATGTTCTGCTTGCGCTGACTATCCAACTGCCAGAAACCCGAATATAATTCTAAACTACATTGTTTTAGTCGGCTCCACGGCCCGAAAATCCTTTCTAGTAATTCCCAGCTATTTTTCTACCTTTTCTAATGAGAATAAGGTTTATAAAAACTGGGCTCCCCTGCCGGGAAAATCAGCCCAGAGCTCTCTCAGAGCAGATGGCCTTCTCTTCTCATGACCGTAAACGTTTTAGGATTGATCCCTTTTTTTTCATTTTTTACCTATCTGAAGAGTAAATGTCTTTGAGACCTTAGAAACCCACTGCTCAGAGAGGACAAGAAGCTACAATGACCAGAGTTCTCGGTTGCAGAGATGAAGTGGAATGATGGCCGCGGAAACCAAGGCATTGCGTTCCTGTCTGTAAGAGTAGAAGAATATAGGTTGATTTTTGAGCACTAAGGGGTTTGGTTTTAAAAATGTCTACAATTTTGAGCTTTATTGTGCATTGGGTTTCTGGATGGTAATTAACACCTTCCTAGTCCCAGGAATTTCAAGTGTTAAAGAATAATTTCTTTTTGGGGGGGTTGTAGTACTTGTTACTCTATTTAAGGATGTTGGAAGAGGGGGAAGGAATTGGGAAGACCAGTTGCCATAATTTCTTAGAGTATTTTAGTCACGTAAAGTGTTGTATTATGTTAAAAAAAAAATTAACCAAGGCTCTTGGAGGTGGTAGATTTCTATCAAATTTTTGAGGTTGGGGCGCCTGGGTGGCTCAGTGGGTTAAAGCCTCTGCCTTCGGCTCAGGTCATGATCCCAGGGTTCTGGGATCGGGCCCCACAGTGGGCTCTCTGCCCCGTGGGGAGCTTGCTTCCTCCTCTCTCTCCTTGTTTGCCTCTCTGCCTACTTGTGATCTCTGTCAAATAAATAAATAAAATATTTTTAAAAAAAAGAAATTTTTGAGGCTGTTTATAGTTTTCGTTCATTAGTTTTGACATCAGCCATCCACAAATTGCCTTTGGCCCCAGTTAAAAGGGACACGGATCTATATCTGAAACTTACTAACTATGACTTTGGGCCAGTCACTTAACTCATCCAAGGAAAGCCTCAGTTTCCTCATCTGAAAATGGGGGAACAAAATAATATCCATCTTACCAGCTTCTGACGAGTAAATGAGATAATGGATGAAAAGTTTTTCCCACACAGCCAGTTAAGGAATAAATTGGAGCTATCCTTTAAATTACAGTTAGTGTTATCAAGGTTACTAGTTCATAATTATTCAACTAGAATTTTCCTCTTATTTTGTAAAATACGGGGTTAGGACTAGATGATTTTTTGAGGTAAAATGTCTGCATTGTTTAAACTCTGTTCTACTTATGAGTGCACTCAGCAGTTAGGCTTGGAGGAATAGAACTTGCAGGACTGGTTGCTTACTTTCAAGAATGTAATAAAATTAGCAAACAAATAAACCCAAGACAATTGCAAATTGTATGGTTAACAGTATCAGTATGGTACTGGGTATTGATTTTGAACTGAGGGAAATCTGTGA